TCAACTGAAACCTCTCGTGTTTCAGTTTGCATCCATTGCCCCTAGTCCTGTCGCTGGACACCACTGCAAACAGACTGCTTCCGTCCTCTTGACTTCCGCCCTTAAGATATTTGTATGCGTTGATGAGATCCCCTCTCAGTCTTCTCTTCTTCAGGCTGAACAAGCCCAACTCTCTCAGCCTTTCCTCGTAGGGGAGATGCTCCAGTCCCTTTATCATCCTAGTAGCTCTCCTCTGGACTCTTTCTAGGAGTTCTTCGTCTTTCTTGAACTGGGGAGCCCAGAACTGGACACAGTACTCCAGGTGGGGTCTCACCAGGGCAGAGTAGAGGGGGATGGAGGGTGCTGCTCCTACAAGCACGCGTGCAGTGTAATTCTGCGGTCCTGGGTGGTCCTCAGCTCCCCCCTGCTCAGGTGGAAGAAAAGAGCCTCCTCCTAATGGGATTTTTCTCCCCACTGGAGGGTCCTTTCCTTCTTGTCTTGGCTTTCCACCATTCCCATCCATCCACCTGAGAGCCGGCTACATCTGCTCATCGGATGGATGAGCTGGACTCTCTTTGGAATAAATAGATAAATAAATAAATAAGCAAGCTCTGGAATAAAATATGATGAGTATCCTGCTGTTACAGTGGGAACAGCCCTGTGCTACGAGGGGCAGCTGGTCACTCCAGCACCCCAGGGTGGGAGGCACCTCCAGAGGTGCTGGGAAACCCACGTCCCCCGGAGACGCCGTGCTCCCCAGCACTGGGAGCGAGGACCGGCAGAGGTTGTCTCCAGGAGGGAGGTCCGAAAGCACCGGCGGCCAGGCTGGCAAGCGCGGAGGCGTCCGGCACGGGCTGCTGAAGCCGCAGCAGAGGATGCTTCATCTCAGCACCGCTCAACAAGGTCTCCTAAACAGATTTTGCATCTTCCTTATAAACATAAACGGCTCAGGTTGGCCTAATGAAGATGAAAGCGCCTTTAAAGTGGGAATCATAGCTCCAGTTTGGGCCATAAAGCATCTCAGAATAGCTCTCCGTCATGGAAAAACATTGCAGGTCAGGGGATCTGTCAGGGAGGATGGAGGCAGCTGACGCAGTTGCGGGCGCTGCGACGAGATGTGGATGGGGGGGGGATGGATTTGGGGAGGACGGGGCTCCGGAGAAGATGTAAACCAACCTGAAATGCTAGAGAGGCTATTCCCTGAAACTCCGGCGCTTTGCAACGGGCTATGGAGGGCACCATCGAGTCCCGGGGTACTTGGGTGAATCTGTTGCACCCCAATATCCATTGGCAAGGAGGTGCCCACGTCTGCAGCCCTCTGAAGGAGAACCCCACCTCCTTTTCCTTTATTCTCACCCTCTTCTCTGGCGGTTGGAAAGAGGGGAGGATCTCTGCAGGAGGTGTCTCCAGGGGGGAGCATCTCCACCCCGAGTCAGATGTCTGGATGAGGTGGCTCAACCACACCCCAGGTCCCTCCAGCCCCAGGGTCCTGCTTATGGGCTGCTCTCCCCAGGAGGTTGCTTTTGGGGTGGCTCCTTTCCCCACAGGAGACCGTGTTGAGTAAGATGGGAACAAACCCTTCGCCCATCCAAGGCGAGACCACATCTGCTCCCCCCGCTGCAAGGTCGCAAGCAAACGGCCGTGTGCGGCTTCACCATGCACTGCAGTTCGTCTTCTCGCAAGCATGCAAATCAGCAACTGTGCTTCGTAGGGCTGGCGGGAGGGATGCTCACAGCCCACGTCCAACTCTTGCTCAAGCCCAGACCCGACCAAAATCACTGTTAGGTGCTCCGGCAGGAAAGCTCAGCCTCCAAGGGCCACCTTGGCGTTCCACCCTGGGGATGGAAAACCCCAGTGCAGATGTGTTTCTCCACCTGGGTAAGACCACAGATCGAAAACGAAAAGACCTTGACATCTTAAAATCATCCTGTGATGCCAACACATGGCTGCGGACCGGTGCCATCCCAACGGGATGCTTGTGGAGAGCAGCCAGTGGAGGTGATGGGCAAGGCCGGACGCAAATCCACCTCAAACGCGTGCGATGCGGGGTGTAAAAGGCCGCGCAACCCCTGGTAAACCAGCTCGGAATGCCAACCCCTGGTAAACCAGCTCGGAATGCCAACACGTGGTAAACCAGCTCGGAATGCCAACCCCTGGTAAACCAGCTCGGAATGCCAACACGTGGTAAACCAGCTCGGAATGCCAACCCCTGGTAAACCAGTTCGGAACGCTGTTCCTGCTGCTGTTAAACACCCCCCCACGGGGCCTGGCAGGGTCTGGGGACGTGGTTCCCCCGCGGGGCCTGGCAGGGTCTGGGGACGTGGTTTTACCCCAGACCACCCCAGGGCAGAGTCAGGAGTTAGCAAAGCTACAGCCGTCCCCAGGAGTGGTTTGCACATCGCCACCCTCTTTTGGGTGGAAAAAAGAGAGTTGAGCTCTCCAGGCACGAGCCAGTTGGCCAGGGGGGTTGGAAACCTGGCACCAGATGATTTTCCCCATTGCTCCAACCCCCTCGGATCCCCCAGCCCCCTTCCAGGCTTGCCCCAAGGTGCCGTCCCGCACTGAACATGCTGCAGAGGACGGAGCACCCCTCTTGCTCGCCCACGCAAGGCTTGGCCAAGGGGCATGAAGGAGCCTCCTGGAAGCCACCACTGCTCTTACCTATAGAGTAGCCAAGGCCAACCCTATAGAAAACCTGAGTTCCGCCGGGCTTTGGGCCCCTGCACCATAGGGAAAGCGTCCGCAGCCCGAGGTCCAGCTCGAGTGGAGCAGAGAGGCTGGGGTTTGATGGGCACAGAAAGGGAGCAGTGAGCCCGGCCGAGCCCTGTAAACCTGCCCGGCCTCTGGAAAAGCCACCCCCAGGCTGGAGAACGCTCACCCGCTGCTTTTGCACCCAAAGCCGGCGGCCGCAGGGCTCCCTGGCACATCAGGCAGAGATGCCCGCCCTGCCCGGGCTGAGGAGCCGCTGCTTTCAACCAAATCCCCTTTCATCCCACGGGAAGACACCCCCAAATCCTCAGCACCCATCGGAGCACAAAGCCCTCCCACGCCTGAGCCCAAGGAGTGACGGATGCTCCTGCCCGGCGCGCCGGTAATAAACCACCCGTGCCAAACCCACCGCCGCCGGTGCCGGCTGCGACCCGGCGAAGGATTTTCCATCCAACCCCCCCCCTCCCCAGCTCCTTTTCCAGCTCCAAGGATGCAAACGCAATTAGCAGCATCGCCCGGAAAACTTTGCGGGCTGCGGTTCGTGGAGAGATGCTAATCCCTCCATCCGCCGCGGGGCCGGATCCGGCGAACGCCCGTCGCTCGCTCATCTTTTGTTCGGTACCTGGAACGGTCCCTCTCGCCTCCCC